GGATGAAGAGAATATAAAAAATGTAGTAGGACAGAAAGTCATTCAGGATTATGTCCAGAAGTACAAGGTACTGAGTGGAAATGTTACCGATTCCCTTTTGAATTATCCCGGTTAAAAACATATACATATGTAAAGTATAAATGATTTAAGGAAAAAAAAACCAAACAAACCCATACATTGTGGAGTGGTCAGAACTGTAAAGTTAGAATTGGGTAATTGATACTGTGGAAGCGAAGCCAGGATTACTTTTACTCTGCTGTTTAGTTATGGCATGAATATAATTTCCAGGTAAATTCAAAGCAATATGCACATGATTAAACCGTATTAGAGCTGTCTTTCACCCAAAGCCACAAAACAGTTTGCAAATTATGTATGTTGTTTTAAGAATTCTCTGCATAATATCAACTTCTCCTCAAAATGTAGGCTATTCTAGAATGAAAGGTGGCCAGTGGTTTACAGATCAAGATAATTTTGATCAGTATCTGAAGCAAAAATGAAAGATGCTATATCTTGAGATAACTGTTGAGGAGTGTAGGTATAACACAATTTCATTTCTTTAACCAGATCAGTAGCACTCTTGTAATAGATCTGCACACAGTGACTTTGTTCTCAATGTCAGATTTGTTTAACTAGTCTTCTGAAAAATCGCTTTACTTCTTGGCTGTTATTCTTCTTTGTATGTAAGAATATTTCCCACCTTATCTGTTTTCATATTTAAAATTTTGAGACTAAATAAAGTGGGAAAAATCCCATATACTCAGTTTTTATTAAATCTGATCCTTGAGAACAATTATCAATACATTTACAGAGGTTTGTTGTTTTTTGTTGTTTGGTTGTTGGGCTTTTTTGGGGGCGGGGGGAGGGAGGCAGATTCTTTATTCAAAAGGCAGTGTATTACTGCTTTATTTTTCAACATTTGTGAAAAAGTAACAATGTTTTAAATTGCTGGTCGCTTGCTAAAAACTTTTTAGCTAAATTGTGGTAAAGCTGTGATTTGTGAATGTTTTTCCTCTGTTTTGCAAGAAGGTGAGAAATTATGGTACTTAACATGCTAGGCTTTTTATTCTCTTCTTTTCTACCAGGGTTTCAAGATAGATTTAAATTGCAAGCAATTGACGGTAGACTTTGTGAACCAATCCGTGCTACAAATTAGCAGCCAGGATGTTGAAAGTAAACGTAGCGACAAAACTGATTTTGCAGAGCAGCTGGGAGCAATGAACAGACGTTGGCAGATGCTGCAAGGCCTGATAACAGAAAAGGTAAGGAAAAAACTAGCTGCTCTGTAGCGAACTTTCAAAATACATAGAACTGTGAGACTGTAATGCTTGGAAGCCTCCACAGATCACGTAGTCCAACCTCCTGCTCAAACAGACCTAACTTTAGATCAGATTACACAGGGACTTGCTTAGCTGAGTTTTGAAAATCTCCAAGGACAGATTCCACAAGCTCTCTGGGCAGCTTGTTCCTGTGCTTAACCACAATTTTCACCTTGTTCCCAATCAGAGTTTCCCTTGTTGCAACTTGTGGCTGTTATTTCTTCTCCTTTTTGCCACGCACGCCTCCATCTTCCCCATACCTCCCCATAAGGAGTGGACAGCACAATGAGATGCTTCCTTTGCCTTCTTTTTGCCAGGCTAAATAAAGCCAGCCTTTCCTTGTATGTCACGTGCTTCAGCCCCCTAATGATCTTAAGTGGCTATTCACCAGCTTGTCAATCTCTCTCTTGCACTGGAGGGCCCAAAATGGGTCACAAGTGTCAAGGAGAAGGAAAGAACCACTCCTCTTGACCTGCTAGGTGCCGTCTTAGTAATCTAACCCAGGATGCAGTTGGCCATCATCAGCACAAATGCACACTGCTGATTTATCGTGTTCAAGTTATTGCCCACCATAGCCCCTAGGTCCTTTTCTTCTATCCAGCCTGCTGCCAGCCTATATTGTTGCATGAGGTTGTTTTGTCTCAGGTGCAGGACTACATTTGTCTTTGCTGAATTTCATTATGGTTGATGAGCCTATTCCTCTGTCTTGTTGAGGTTTCTCTGAATGGCAGCCCTACTCTCCAGCACATCAGTTACTTCTAAATCAGTGTCATCTATGAATGTGCTGAAATCACATTCCATCATGTCATTCAGTTTATCGATGAAGGTATTAAACAATATCAACCCCGGGATTGATCCTTGTAAATGACTGCCAGATAGATGTTGAAATGTTTACCACTAACCTTTAAGCCTAATGACTGGTCAGTTCATTCATTTGTAGGCCTCCCATCCAGCCCCATGTCTCCTCAGTTTTGCTATCCTATGGGATACCACATCAAAAGTCTTGCAAAAGCATCTACTACTCTTCACTTGTCCACAGAGTCGGTCATATCATCATAGCAGAGGCAATCAGTTAGGTCAGGCACAATTTGCCTTTGGTAAAAGCATGCTTGTTCCTCCTTCTTGGTCTTTATGCATGTGGAAATGGCTTCTGGCAGGATTTGCGGTATAACCTTTTTCCAGTCACCAGCAACTTCCTTCCACCATCACGACCTTTTGAAGGTGATAGACAGCAGTCTTGAAATGACATTAACACCCTCGGATACATCCTGTCTTGTTCTGTGGACTTTTATATGTCCAGCTTACTTAAGTAGCCCTAATTCTTTCCTCCTCTACCATGACTAATACCTCTGTATGCCAAAATTAGTTAATTGGCATGAAGACCTGGGAGGCGTGAGAGGAGACCTTGTCAGTAAGATCAGAGCAAAGAAGACGCTGTGTACCTCGGACTATTCTGTGGTTTCCCATTAGTTGCTGATGTACTTCTGAAGAGTAACAAAGGCTTCCGTCCCTCACTAGTTAGTTCCAGCCAAGATTTTGCTTTCCTAACATCAGCCCTGCATGGCCAGGCCATGCTTCTAGGCCCATTCTTTGTAATCCACTTTCTGTGGATACTGAAGGACAGTGCAGCTTCCCATGGGATCATGCTTACCTGAACAAACCTGAGTCTGCTATTCTAAGGATCTTTAGTCTGCAGCTTGCTTTCCTTACTTCACTCACAACTGTCTCATCGTCACGGTGGCCAAGGCTTCTGTTGACCATCACATCCTCAGTTCTCATGAAGATTACATCTAATTAAGATGATTCGTTCCCTAGTGTGGAGTTTGTCTTAAGTAATGTGAATGCTTTTTATGGCAATACTGTTGCTTTCAAATTCCACTTTGTTATTTCATTCTTTTTGTTTGTTTTAAGAATAGAAGTGCTGTCTCATTTGTTGTTGAGTAACACTCAGAACGATCAGAAAAATCTAAGTAACTTTAAAGCAGTCAGTTGACAAAGGAGGCAATATGAATCTTCATCTGCTTTACCATAGCTATAAGCAAGAAATATAAAATGTATCTTGCATACTTGGTTTTATTTGGGAAAACCTGAGGTCGTTGATGTCTGAAAAGAATTCCATTTCATAAAAATGTTCTACTAACGTGTTAGCTTCTTTCAGTGTGTCATGATATTTTGATATGTTATGTCTATATAATTATTTCTGGATAAAACAGGGGGTTTTATTATGAACTCTTCTACAGATAGCAGATCCATTTTAATTGGAGTGCATATACTGTTTTTAAATTCTGAAAGCATTGGATTCCAAGAAGGCACTGGTCCACATTGGTCTTCACTGATTTATTTAATTGACCTAACAATAAAGCTAATTGCGTGAGAAAGTGTATGCTCATGTTTCTTTGCAGATCCAGATGTTGGAAAGTCTACAGGAATCCTGGACAGAATATGAAAATAGTGTGCAGTGCCTTAAAACTTGGTTTGAAACCCAGGAGAAGAAGCTGGAACAGCAACAGAAAATTGGAGACCAGGCTTCAGTACAGAATGCTTTGAAAGACTGTCAGGTAATGTCCTGTAATAAATAACAATATTCTCTTTCCAACAGTTAGAAACAACACTTGATAAAGCCAAATGAAATCTTCGTATCAGTGAAGTTAGTGACAGAACTTCCCCTTACTTCAGTGAGGGAGAGATTTCATTCCTGAAGTGCAAGCAAAAAAGAAAGGAGGAAGGAACAATAATGTCCCAAAGATGTTTAAAAGCAGCCAAAGTCATTCTTTTTGCATTGTGTATTAAAGCATGTACATTTCTAAGCATGCCAGGCATACTGAACTAGAAGGCCATCAAAGGAATGTGTTCCCATTCCTGTTTTGCCAGTCTTATGGAACTTGATGTCATGAACACCATGCTTGACTGTTCAGAAACTTTTTTTTTTTCTGCCTTATCACTTTTTCCTCCATCCCCCCTTTTTTCCATTCTTTTTCCGCCTGATGTATTCCATCCGACTATTCAAAGAAATATGCTAGAATCCATGCTTTTATTCAAAATGTGTTAGGAATAAATTTGTTTCAAATATTCAACTATCCAGAGAAAGAAATAGCACTGGATTCCCTTTTGCTTTCAAAAGACTGAAGGAGAATCATGATTGCGATGGGCAAAGATAGGATAAGACAAAGTGCAGCTGTACATAATGCACATGAGTTCAGAACCACCTCATTTTTTCATGTGAAACTTGCACAAGAACTACGCAGCGGTGAAGTGGGTATCACAGTTGACTCTGAACATCTTACGCAGAATAGCACATATTTAAATAGAAGCTTGCTTCTGGAGCTTTCAGGCTAGAGATCAAGCTTGTAGGTGTACAGGCAAAACAGATTTTTCTGAATTTATAAACAAGGCCTCTACATGGTATCAGGCATCAGATAATTTTTGCTCAAAAATATTTTGTTCTACCAGACACCAAATAATAATATTCACATCAGATCAAATTTGTCATTAAACTCTGTCAGGACAACTGTATGCGCAAAGTCTTGATGTTCTCATCCCCTTAAAAGGGAGTAAGGAAGCGTGTTTATCTTGCTGTCGCTATCTTTCTTGCATGAATTTAATGAGTGGGATGAATATGACATAGCTTTTAAGCCTTCACCAACAGAACAGCTGGAAATCTATTAAAATGAAATGGATAAGAGAATTTAATCTATATTCCCCAGAATTTTAAACCCATCTTTGTTTCTGTAAAGGCAAATAGTTGGTTAGGCTAGGTATGTTAGAAGTCAATTTTTTGTCCGAAATTCTTGACCTAAGTTTTCAAACTGGTTGCAGTGCTTATTAGTTTCAATTCAGGTTTCTTTGTTGTTTCAGCACAATAAACCCGTATGACTGAAGCAAGGGTAATTTAGCATAACCTGACATAGTCAGCAGGCTGTACTTGGCTGGAGTTCAAAGCTGAATCTGATTTATCACCTTTATGGTTCCTTTTAGTCAGAGGAGTTAGCAAATACACTTGGGGAGTGAGTTATGAATGGCAAGACTTTGATCAGCAGAGAAACAAATTGTTTAAGAAATAACTGTATCGGACACTTCCAGGTATCCAGTTCAACTAGTACAGAAGCTGCAGTTTATTTATTAACCGATGTTAGTTGCTGCCTGGCGTCATATTAATAACTGAAGGCAACCATTTTTTCCGATCATACATCAGAAACAGTAATGCATCTTTAATTCAGTTATGAGTTTAAAATGATGAATAAGAAAACCCTTTTCACAGAGAACAAGAAATATTTGCTATTCTTGGTGTTTTACCTTTTGCCTGTTTTACATTCTGAATTTTTAAACAACCTTGTATGAACTTCAATGCACTTTTTTACTGTTAAAATCCACTTTTTGGAAAGTCAAATTTACTATGTACAACTTAGAAGTGTTTGCTTCATTGTCAGCTGGTAAAAAAAAGATGTATTGCTCCACGGCTGTAGTCTGGAACAAGGTCATGGCTAGAATTTTGAAGAAATGTGAATACAGAAGAAAAGGCTAAGAATAAACAGTACAGCAAAATGCTCTCACGTATTTGTATATAGACAAAACTGTGTTGTATGTATGCAGTGATAAGTTCTGTTAGTAGCAAGTGTTTGCAAGACCAGGCAGAATTTTTTTCCAAATACTCTCCCTGCTATCTAAAATTTAAAGCCTATTGTGGCAATGGTCCACTTGTTGTTTTTTGTATTCATAGAGAGGGTAGTTTATTGAAAGACATGGGTTTTCAGTTTGCCCAGAGTTTTGTTGTGTAGGTGTCTTTCCTTGATGATCCATCTCTCTCAGTAAGGAAAGGCTTGTGGAAAATTAAAATATAACCTGAGATCACAAGATGTACTAATTCATGTAGGGGCATCACAAGATTGCTCTTGCATCACAGTCTGCTTTCCGTATCATACTGACTACTTTATCTCCAGACAGGTAAACACAAACTTGTGCTGGCCTGAAGCCTACATGCCATACTTCCCCCCTCTGCTCAGACTCAATGTTTGCACTACCTGAAGCTACACAGCTTCCATATGAGTCAGAGCATTGCAGGACTTTCTTGGATCTCCCTGCACCATGCCATGAAATGATACAGGTAGTTTCCTGACTAGGAATGAGCTTATGGGAGCATGCTATATAACTCTCAGTTGCTCACTGAGTCTTTTTGTCCTCTCTCCTTCATTTTGTAACTTCATTCTCATGCTGTTGAGGCATGAGGAAGATCACAGGCTTAGTGACTAGCAAACGTTACATACCAGAGCTTCTGCACTTCACTTGTTGATAAAACGTGATAAAATTGGCAAACTTTGAATCAGCATGACCAATCTAGGATCATCTTAAGTCAACTACACAGTCAGCACTTGCCTGAAGCAGCAAAACAAGCCACTAACAAGTTGTCATGGCCTCAGTGCTTATGTACTCAGCCCTGTTTTTCTTTGCTTGTTTTCGTGCCAACTATTCCTTTTCTTCCCATTTTCTTGGGTTAGTGTGTGGGAACACTGAGCAAGAGCAAAATGCTATCAAGCTCATTAATGCTTCCCAATGGCATGCAACCTTGAGGAGGCAATAAGGAAAATTCCTGCAGTCTGTTGCTTGTTGACATTGGCTGGACTCCAGTGAACTTGTCATCTAGAAAAGGGGAAGATTCGCTGTCCTCAGGCAAGGGGCTTTGCTGGGACCTGGCAAAGGAATAAAGATTTCACTTCATGTGGGGAGGCATGGTAAATTGACATCTTTCCTTAGGAAGTCATTTTGTCCTTTTCCTTGGCTGGCAAAATTAATTTTTTTTTCCAGAGGCTTGAGCCAGCTTTGGACTAATTAATAAGCCCTTTCAGTGGTCTAGGACAAACTAAGACACACAAGAATTTTCCCATGTATTCAAACTGCTGTCCTGTTTTTAATGAGAGCAAAAGATTACACAGAAGTTTAATGTAGAGGACATGCTTCTATTTAAATTAAAGACAAACAACTATGCTTTAAAGGGAACATAAAATATTAAATAAAATTGTTGATGAGTTATGATTCACTTGAGAATAAGAAGCCAAAGTATGCGCATTCCTGTTTTTTAAAGTAAGGAGCTTTTGGGCATCTTTTCTATCTCAAGGCATTATTTAGCCAGTTAAACAAACAAAAATACTCAGCTATCTGCTTTTTCTTTTCAGGAATTAGAAGAATCAATAAGAGCAAAGGAAAAAGAAGTAGAAAACGTAGAACAGAGTGGTCTTTCTTTGATACAAAACAAGAAGGAAGAAGTCTCTTCTGCTGTTACAAATACACTGCAAGAAATTAACCATTCCTGGGCCAATTTGGATCACATGGTAAAAGAATCATCAAGGAGCAAATTATAGCTCTAGGAACAGGGCATGGAGGAGAGGGAGAATTAGCAGTTTGCAGCTAGTGGATTTCTTCTGTATTGTAAGGGAAGAGATTCTGAGTTGTGTTCCTGTTTCCATCTATCCCCGTTTGTTGGGTAGACTCCACAGAAAATGGGTATAATATTTCCTATTTCAAGGATGCTTTTAATTCTTGTAATTGAAGCTTTTTAGATGCTTCTTGATATTTACTGGAAAGGTGCCAAATGGTCTGTAAAGACTACCTTTTCAAGCCCACAGGTCTTGAGAAGAGATCAGCATTAATTGTCATCATCCAAAGCTTGATCAGTATCAGTCTGCTTTCTCAGGAGGATTGCAGTGTGTTAGTGCTAGCCTTTCTGCTGACTTTCGTAGCCTGATTTGCCTGCCTTAGGAATATGTGTTTCACAGTCTTAAGCAATTTCTCTTGATCCTGCTTTGGAACAAAGTAGAATGGACTTGATGTCTTCTCAGTCCCTGCCATCCTAGCTTTACAAAGTGAAGCAGAACTTTATGCTGTACCCAGCGTAAGCCCAGCTGAGGGTTGTGCAAAGCCTTCATTCTCCTACAGGTTTAAGATTAGGCATGTAGAACGAGTAGTATCTGAGATCAAAAGGAAGGAAATAATTTAAACAAAAACCAAATATCTTGAATGCTTTTCATTTACATTTTTTTTCCTCCCTCCTTCCTCCTAGGTTAGCCAACTGAAGATATTATTGCAATCTGTTCTTGATCAGTGGAGCATTTACAAAGTGGCTTATGAAGAACTGAATAGTTACCTGACAGAAGCCAGATATTCTTTGTCCCGTTTTAATCTTCTTACTGGTTCTTTGGAAGCTGTGAGAGTCCAAGTTGATAACCTTCAGGTGAAAAGAATACCATGCCTCTTGACATACTAGGGATGGATTCAAGGATTAAATTTGTCCTCATTGCATGGATGCAGATAACTATACATTTTGGTTTGTAAGAAAAGGAAGTACAGACATACTGGCACATTAAAATCACATGACCGTAAGAGAACATATTATCCAATAGCCATTGCATTTTTCATTTTGCAGAAAAACAAAATAGAGATGGTTTTCTTTTTAGATTTTTGATGCTGTTCTTTAAATTTTGAGCCGTACTGTCAAATCATTACAAGTTTTCAAATCATGCTTCTGACCATTAAAACTGAAGTTTCTCACTCTGCTTCATCAGGCTTCTGAGCTGCTGACACATGTTGAGACCACATTTTAAACCCAAACACCCCCAGCCCCGTGGTTGCAATAAATTGAAGATCAAAGAAAATAATTTTCCAAAAGCTGAGATACTCACATGCTCAAGTGATTTTCCACTGTAAGAAAAGCATAAAATACAATGAGAGTCTTGTTATAAAATTATACATTAATATTAATGGAAATAAACTAATTAAAATAACTAAATTTAAAAATATTAAAATTATGGTTCTATTACATGTAATAGAACATACATACATAATACATACATACATAAACTTTTTATTTCAAAGAAAGTTGTCTTTGGAGTCAAAAATAATTATGCAAACATTTCCAGATGCTTAAAGTAACAAGAACTTGTGTTGTTAGTATGTGCCATTTAAGTTTACATTATTATTTCAATATTTGGTGTGATTTGAAGTCCAGACGTATATAAAGCCAAATTCCCTAAGCATGGACAGCACTTTCCAAATCAAGATTTAAAGAGCATCAATGCACTCTACAGCCACTCTTCTAGGTTTCCATTTTTTATGTATCAGAGAGGAGGAGTCAGTAAAACAATAGGTATAGAAAATGACGGGTTTTGCTTAGTAAGATTTTTGAGTGTACTGTTTACTCAGGTTGGGATTTGCTGGGCTATTCAAACTGTAATAACATATATAAAAATATTTAAGGTTAAAAAAAAAAGGGAGCATCTTCCCTGCCAGCAATATTTCAGACAGATAAATGAAAAAGCAAGAACCTTATTTTCAGAATAAACTATTTTTTATGCTGTTACTTTTTTCATCTTGTTCTAAATAGGAGAATGTTATATATTTCCTTCAGTTAAGTTTTTATTTCTGAAGCAGTTACATGCACTTACTCCTTCTGTGCTGCAAAAGTACTCGTTTAGAATGATTTCTTTTACAAGATTTTTGCATTTTGCAAAAACATTAGGTTTAAATTTACTTTTTGCTACACCTTGATATTGAATCAAATAAATCCAACAGTCTTTATATTAAACAACCTTCTATTTAGATGAAATACACATGAAATCAAGTTTTGCAATCATAACCTGTATGATATAATTGATAGATGCTGTTCTGAAATGTTTTTACATCATGCAGTTGTAATATCTTGGGGGGGGGTTAATTATTATTATTGTATCTGTTTTAGAGCCTACAAGATGAATTGGAAAAGCAAGAAAGTAGCCTACAGAAATTTGGTTCTGTGACTAATCAATTGTTGAAAGAATGTCACCCGCCAGTGACTGAAACACTTACCAACACTTTGAAAGAAGTGAATATGAGGTAGAAAATGTCTGTGTGTTGAACTTTACTTTCAGTGGTAAATTTGCATTTATCCATTGACTGAGTTTTCCGTCGTTTCTATTTTTTAAAATATTTTATTATTTTATGATTTGGGGGATTCAGGGGGCTTGTGGGGGCAGGCGGGGTTATTCCTTTTGCCAAGGGCTGGAGCAGAACTGTCTCATTTACTGCGAATAATAAATGAAACATTATTTTCTCCTGCAAAACATTTGGACATTACTGTCAGTAGTTTTGCTCCATGCTTGGCTGCCAACCAAGATTCATAAATACCATGCTGGAAAATAATACTGCACGTAAAATCTGTGAATCCTGTCTGAAAATTTTGTTTGCTATGTATGCACCAGGTTCCCCAGAGTTTAGGTTGCTATTTCTAGTTATAGGGGAGGGCATGATGGGCACGAAGGTCTAAGCCTTCACCAGTAGCTTAGCAAACAGCTTCCCTAACTTTGAATCCAGGACAGAACCAGTGTAAGGTGTTACTCAGGGAAGCCACAGAAAGGCAGGATCCAAAGCAAAAACTACTTTGGTGGAAAGTTGTGGATGTTTTTTTAAAAACAGTCATGCCAAATTTATTTTAATCTGTGGTCCATCCTGTCCTAGAATCTTGAAGTGGAGGGAAAGGTTATTTGCCCATTTCAAAAAGTTACTGTAGGGTTTAACAGATTCAATAATGACTGACCGAATTTTCACTTCACCATTTTTATCATATAATAATAACTGAAAAGTATTGTGATTTCCTTTAGTAAGGAAATAACGAGGCAATTTGATAAATACCAGCACATTTGAGAAAGTACATGTTTCTGGTTGCCATTAGAGCCAGAATTCAAAGGGGTATTAGATATTTAGTTGGATAATAAAAATATAAAGAGTTTTAATAGGTCTGGGAGTATTTTAGAAGGGAGTTACACAGAGGGTTATGACTTTATTCTGTCAGGGTTTGGGAGGAAACTGCAGCAGAAGAAGTGGTTTCTTGTTTACCCCTGTTTTGGGCCTCTTAGGCCCCTGTAGGAATCTGTTACTAGCAGTTAATGGTTGGTCATGTATGCTCTGTGCATTGAACCAAAGCGTGCTAAGTAGAAATAGCAGGAGGTTCACTTCATAAAGTGCGCTTCAGCTCTGACTTCAAGCATTTATACACAACATCCAAGATGTAGCACAGATCAGACCTGCTGTGACAGGTCAGAACAGCCTGTCAACATATTTCTTGGATTCCTTTTTGTTTTTTCCCCAAATGGCTGGATCCTGATTATTACCAAATTTCTTAAAAGCCAAAAGACCATGGGAAACGGCAAAGAGGAAAAGGAGCAAGGATAGTTCTTGTGGACTCCCAGGCTTTGATCATCCATCCAATCTCTTCACCAGGTGGAACAACCTTCTGCAGGAGATTGCAGAGCGGCTGCGTGCCAGTAAGGGCCTCCTTCAGCTGTGGCAGAGGTACAAGGACTGTTACCAGCAGTGCTCTTCCACAGTCCGTCAGCGGGAAGACCAGACCAATGAGCTCCTGAAGACTGCCACCGGCAAAGACATTGCTGATGATGAAGTTACTACTTGGATTCAGGACTGCAATGTATGTTCAGTTAAGCTTTGAAGTTTTTCACAGCTCTGTGGGCTAAATACCACAAGAGGCTCTCTATTAGTAAACTCTATACTTGGTGTATTAGAAACTTGCATACAAACACATTTCTTTTCACTGATGCATCTCAGGCACAGGAGAGACATCTTTATGTCTGCTACCCAGATCTCATGAGTTTCTCATACTTTTCGTATGTTCCCTCCATTACTTGTTGTGGTGTTGTTTCAGAAGCTTGTATCTAAGTCATCCCTCCGGAGAAGGTGGAAAAATCATGTAATTTGATCCAGTCTTAAGTCCCTGCTTATCAAAGGACTTGGGAAAACATCTCTACCAAATCTATTGAGTTCTTTATAAGAGAAAGAAACACAATATCCTTTAACTACATTCCCACCAATCAAGGCTGTTCACTTTTTCTGAATGAGAAGAGACTCTGTCAGTTCTGGGGATGTCTTTATCCTTTCTTAGAGAAGGACACCATTCACTCTGAAAGCTTGAGATTCTTCCTCTTTCAGGACTGTATCTCAATGCAGAAGGATAATTTATCTCTTATCTGTAGTTACATTTTGGTTCTTTTGAGTTTAAGTTAATGTTAAATGTCATTGACAACAAAATTAAAATGTTAGTTGTCTTAATATAAGCAAAACAATTGCAAGGAGAAATATGAACACATTAATGAGCTTTTTGAGTATTTGCTGGCATAGTCATCTGGACTGGCAATTCAAATTATTCAGTTAGAATAATTTCTTCATTTCCTGATGTCCCATTCTTTAGCCATTATGTTAGGCCATTTACAATTTTTTTTTTTTTACATCCCAGTTCATAATTCGTAGCAGAAAAAAAAGGGAGGTTTAGTCAGACTTGAATCAACTCACAATGAGGGCTGCCACAGCTTAGGACCAGCATGTCAGTAGATTCAAAAGGTTTCTTTCAACAAGTATTGTCTTATCAGTAACTCGGGCTGAGCAGTCACCTCTTTCTGCTCCTCTGTGCACGAGTACTTTTGACTTTTTTTTTTTTATTATTCTGCACATCATTTTATACAGAGTGTGAGTGGACACTTTGGCATTGAGATACAGTAGGAATTTTTCATATAATGGTGGAGTTAGGTCATTTTATCCCTCCTTAAATCAGGGGAGGGTGACATCAGTGGAGTGTCAGGTTAATTATTCATATCTTTATTCGATGTGTTGCCACAGGAGGTACTTACGGATTTGAAGACAGTGCAGGAGTCACTGGTTGTTCTTCAGGAACTGGGAGAGGAACTAAAAAGCCAGGTGGAGGCTTCAGCAGCAGCAGCTATACAATCTGATCATCTTTCTCTGAACCAGAACCTGTCAACCCTAGAACAGGCTCTCCGCAAGCAACAGGCTGTACTTCAGGTATGCAGAAAGTCTTTTCAGTCCTTGAATCTGATCATCCTGTGGTACCTGAAAACACATAAATTAACTAAAACTGCCTGGGAAAAGAGGGTAGTGTTACCTATTCATCAGCATTTCTTAGACTTCCCTGGAAGCCAAAGCTGAGAGTAGAAAATATGCCCGAGTCAAGCATAGAGATCTTGTAAGAAGGTCTAAATTCTGGGAGGAGGAGAGTAAACCTCATGGAGGAAAGTGTCTATCTGGAATGCCAAGGGCAGCATGCTTTCTGTGGGCAGAATAACATTGCTAACAGTTACCACTTCCCTGAAGACAACTTCTCTTCTGATCTAGTTCTTTAGCAGTAAAACAAATAAGAGGTTCTGAATAATTGTGTAGAATTGATTTTTACAGTTCCTATTAATGTCAGTGACCAGACTGACACCTACCATTTGTATCAAAGCCTGTTCAGTAGATGTTGCTAATTGCTTGTATCATGGGTGACACAGTACATGGGTGAGAAAGCAACAAAGGGAGTGGCTTCTGTTTGGGTGACAACAAGATTTACCCAAGAAATACAGCATTGTCTAGAATGTGCTTATAACATCACTGTGCTGTGAAGACAAAACATAAGAGAAGTTTTTCATTTTAAATTGCAATAACAGCAACTAGATGTTCTCTCTGATGACAATAAATTAAGCAGAGGAGTTAGTTTCAAAAAGGAAGTTAGAGAATGATATGTATTTGAAGGCAAGAAGATATTTATGCACTTCATTGAAGTGATTCCTTTTTGCTATGATCAAAACCCCCCTGTTCTAACCTAAAAAAACCCCAATAATTCCACAGTCTGAGCAAAGCAGGAGTTACAATTGCTCCTAACCTATACAGGTGTTTGTAAATCTAGAATGAGAATAACCAGGAGTGTAGTGGTTGCTGTGTGGCCAAAGTTCTTAAACTGGGTCCTTTTCTATTTAAGGCTGGAGTGCTAAACTATCAAACCTTTGCCAAGAACCTGCAAGTCCTTGAGGCCTGGATAACAGAAGCAGAAGAAATATTGAAAGGACAGGATCCCAGTCACTCATCTGATCTCTCAGCAATACAGAGTAGAATGGAGGAACTCAAGGTGACTAATAAATGCAGAAAGTGTTGATTTTTTTTTTTTTCTGTTAGCCTGGTTATTTGTAGTACAAGAATTGCACAAACATCATACATGCATTCTGTACGTATTAAAGGACAGCCACTCGCGCATAGTGTAAGACTGAGAACTTAGAAGCTTGGTGGGAGTCAAGGAGTGATTGTACATGTTACTTTACCCCTGAGTAAAGAAGAAAAGGACAGGCAAACTGTTTAGAATAAAATTAGTATCAAGACAAAATGGGAATGGAAATTTTAGCAGGTTTTGGAGATTTCCTTCATCTTGTTTCCTCTCGACTTTTTTCGTATTTATGCAATTCCTGTCTCAGTGGTATTTAGTTTAGGGATGAGTCATCTATTATTTTGGGGGTATCTTGATATAAGGAAGAAAAATTCATCCTTCACACTTTCTTTTTGTGGGGCTTTTTTTCCTCTCTCTTTTTCTTTGGGAGGCCCTGACAGAAAGTTGATAAACTTTGCCATCTAGGCTGTTTTTGTCCTTTTAATCTTCCATTATTTTTCTGTCAGGGTTAACTGTACACATAGCTCCACTTTGGGCACGCTAAAAACCAGGGCATTTTCCTAACATAGTGAATTGGATATTTCTGTACTGCAAAACAAAAAACCTAAAAATAAGAAGTTGAATAAGTTCAATGGGAATTTGCCAGCCTAACATTCAGGCTAAGAAACTAGGAAACTTGTCACTGTTTTGACACATGGCTTCAAACACTAGCCTACTTTTTCAGCTCTGAGTGGTAAATCCCCAGTTCAGCAAAACATATCAGTGCAATTTGAGTTTACTTCTCTGTGTGTGTTTAAACTTAACTAAACTGTGTTAAGTCTTCTCCTGGTCTGAGACCAGAGGCTGAAAACTGGAAATGCATTTTTTCCCTGGCATAAGGATTGCTTGCCACTTGGTGGCAATCAAGGCTGTTCCAACTTTAACTGAGTGTTAGTTCATGATTTTGCAGTCTATAATACTGTAATTACTGAACTTCCTTGTTATCACTTTTATTGTTTGTTGCAGAGTCAGATGTTGAAGTTCAGCAGCATGGCCCCAGATTTGGACCGTCTTAATGAGCTGGGTTACAGGCTTCCTCTGAATGATAAAGAAATCAAAAGGATGCAGAACCTGAACAGACATTGGTCTCTGATCTCATCTCAGACTACAGAGAGATTCAGGTGGGGATAGTTAAAAGATCATTGTATAGTTTTCTTAGATTACAACAGCTAGAAAGTATACATTTTGCAGAATGTAGAACACATTTCAGATATGTCACAACGAAAGCTCCTTTTCTTTGGTGTACTCTAAGTAAAGAACGAAGCCAGTGAGCTGAGATGTTGGTTATGCCACAGATGAACAAAATTTTAAATGAAGATGACTGCTGCTTTTCAAAGTGTTGACTAAATAAATTGAATGAGGCAGCTGAGTGGGAAAAGTGTTACCATCCGATTTGGAATTCTGCTGGAAAAGTTACTACAAGACTAATGCTTTGTGTGAGAGGAGTAGACCTTACCTGAATCCATCTTTCTTTCTTTCAGTAAGCTACAGTCTTTCCTGCTGCAGCAGCAGACCTTCTTGGAGAAATGTGAGACTTGGATGGATTTATTAGTTCAGGCTGAGCAGAAGCTGGCGGCAGAGATTTCAGGAAACTACCAGAGCCTTTTAGAACAACAGAGGGCACATGAGGCAAGTCATCGTGTGTATTTATACGTAACTACAACACATACTATTTATACATAAGTGGAATGCACATTCTTTTGTGGAGTAATGTAATAGTATGCCTTGAACTGAATTACATTTGCCTGAACCATCTGGGGATATCTTAAATTAAAAAATACCCAGTTTGGGGGAGGACTTGAGTATCTGTCTGCGTTTGTGTATAATGTACCAGTATGCCTATGAGTGTTTATCACCTACATTTAGTCTACTTCAGATTGGTTTGTACCAAAGAAATCAAAGTTTTTATTGGTCTTCCCATAGAACCTAACTATTTTCATGCAATTTGGCCCTTTGTCTTCAGTCCTAATTGGAGAAAATATATGTTATTTCAATTTATTTTGATTTTGTTTATTTGTTATTAAATTGCCAACATATGCAGCATCTGAAGAGCGTGTTAATGGAAGACTTTTCTGTCAAATACTGAATTGTATAACTCATCATGGGGCCTCCATTTAGTATCATTTCCTTGGAGAACAAACTGATCTGATCTTCACTGTGTGCTGGAGTCATTTGTCTGTTTGTAACAAATCAAGAACTAGCCCAGCTTTTGCTGCAGGGAAAAACTGATTCAGAGTTTTTACTAGAGGATGCCTTTATGATTCTTCAGTGAAGTCAAGTGATGCATATTTTTTCTCCACCCATACTGTTACTGCCAAGAATCCTGGTGAAGACTGACTAAGACAAGACAATTTTCATAGCAAAGCTCCCATGTGGCCGCAGTAGTATCAGTTCCCACAACTTTTTCAGCTGACCTACCCATAACCTCAGGCCAGATCATAGGGAAAGTCCTGTCCTTGCCCCCTGCTTGCCTTTTATCTCACAGCATAGTGTTTGGATGAATGTCTGATAGCAGAAAGCAATTTACAACAGGTTTTGCTTGCTTTAGCATACATTTGCTTTAGCATTTAACTGTCTATGCTTTCACAGATGTCATCCATTTCATTTCCTCTTGGTGCTGCCAGCATTAACTGGACGGTGTCTTTGTACATTGAGACATCTCAGGTCTTTGAGATTTGAATGTCCAGAAATCATAACTCTCTAAGTGGATAATTTCCTACTGTTGTTGTGTCCAGTCATAGTTATAATTTTTTTTTGAAAGAGGGTATCGGCAATCAGCATTCAGTCTTGAGATCTCAGCTTAATTCTCTCCTGAAACCTTGATCTGAGCAGTTAGCTCAAGTGAGTGTTACTCAGGCATTCTGTTGAAGCTTTTTTTTTATTGCAATTATAAAGTCCTCTCTCAGAATTTAGAGAACAAATATCTGATTTTCTAAATACTGCAGTTCATCCTAAGAAAATGTGGTATTTTAACACCCTTGTCTCCTGTACAACAGCTATTCCAGGCAGAGATGTTCAGCCGCCAGCAGATTTTGCATTCAATTATCTCTGATGGACAACACCTCCTAGAACAAGGACAGGTGGATGACAGGTAGACATTCCTGTATTGTTGCTGCTGCTGTTTGTGTGAAGTAATACTAATGGGGACTTCCAAACGGAGCAGGCAGCAGATGTCAGTGTTCAGATCATGCTTTTCTGAGGCAGAAGTTACTATCGCTGTGGTTAAGCTATTTATTAGCCAGATTTTAAGTAAGGCAACATTCCTTGGGATGCTGTGGGGTACGTGAATGTGTGAATGCATTTGGGAATACAGCAGCCTTCAGGCTGCTTCTCTAACAAAGATTTGTCTTGGATTATCAAGCATGGTACATATATGTCTGTTTTGATGTATTTTCAAAATGTCACTTTCACCAAAGGAGCCTCTAGTCACAGGTTTACTGAGTTACACTTGATTTATGCCAGCGGGGGATTTGCCTCTGCCAAGAGGATTCCCTCTGCCATTTAAGAACACCTGCAGCCTAAATGTGATGGAATAGGAATTCATTGCTCTCTGAGATTTTATTTTAAACACTTGTGATCAAATGAATGAAAACCAGTGGCTTCACACTTGTGCATATGCATTGACTTTGCTAAGGGTATCATCGTCCTAAGATAAGATGAAGTGTTTATTGGGATGTGAGAGTTTTGTTAATACTATGTATATCTTATGCTTTGAGCTCAGTGGTAAATCTGGGGCGAATTTTGAAATGTCTGTGATTTACTATGAATTTGGCAAATGCAAACTGGCAAAACCTATGTGTTTTCTTAGTATATTTCTGGAGGGAAGGTAGAAGAGCTTCGTATGTTAAAGGTTTGGGGTTTTTAAGGTCTCAATAGTTGGAGCCCTTTGATCCTCCCCGTACATGAAGTATGAAGTTCTCATCCTCAGTCAGCTATCGTGAGACTTCAGTGCTTTTCTCCTAGTGTTTCCTAATTGATAGCCAGAAAACATCTTCCCTTTCCCCTCAGTTTATTTCATTAAATAGATCAAACTATGAAGATTGCTATTTATTTTTATTTATCTATTTATAATAGGGATGAATTTAATCTGAAGCTGACTCTTCTAAGTAATCAATGGCAAGGAGTAATTTGCCGGGCACAGCAGAGGAGGGGGATCATTGACAGCCAGATTCACCAGTGGCAACGCTATAGGGAAATGGCAGAGAAGCTGCGCAAGTGGCTGGTGCAGATATCCTGTCAGCCAGTGAGTGGGCTGGGCAATGTCTCTATCCCGTTGCAGCAAGCCAGAGCGCTACTGGATGAAGTGCAGGTATGTCCAGTGTGTTTGAAGAAAGAGGAAAAAAATCCACCTTTTTTACAGCCTTTATCATTTAAAAAATTCTTTAAATTGTATTAGATTCAGACTGTCTGCTTTGGAGAAAGCAATATTGGATTTTAATTGTTCTTTGGAACTGGCATAGCCTCAGAAGCAGCAGTGTGATGGAAATTAAGTTGAAGTTCATAAAGAACGTGCAATGGGGAACTTACTGGGCCCCCTCTCTCAAGCCTTGTTTGCTTCTGGTTTTGCTTTGTAGCTAATGTCACCCTGCAATTGTCTTGAAAAAAACAAACGATGTCCTGTTTGAGATATGTATTCTATCTAACAAAAATTGATACCTTGAGTATCCGTCTTCATGTGAGGTTAACAGTATCTATTTAGCAGCTTGGTGACATCAAGCTTTTTGGCTGGAAGATACATATAAGGATCATAGAATCATTAGGTTGGAAGATACCTCTAAAATCATTAGTCCAGCGGTTGACCTAATACCACCATGCCCACTAAACCGTATGTAGAAGCACCACATCAGCAAGTTTTTTTTAAAACCTCCAGGAATGGTGACTCCACCACTGCCCTGGGCAGCCTGTTCCAATGTTTGACAACCCACTTAGTAAAGAAATTTTTCCCCATCTCCCATCTAAACCTCCCCTGGCGCAACCTGAGGCCATTTCCTCTTGTTCTATCGCTTGTTACTTGGGAGAAGAGACCGACCCCCACCTCACTACAACCTCCTCTCAGGTAGCTGTAGAGAGCAATAAGGTCTCCCCTCAGCCTCCTCTTCTCCACACTAAACAGCCCCAGTTCCCTCAGCCACTCCTCATAAGACCTGTTCTCCAGACCCTTCACCAGCTTCCTTGCCCTTCTCTGGACACGCTCCAGCACCTCAATGTCTTTCTTGTAGTGAGGGGCCCAAAACTGCACCCAGTATTCGAGGTGCGGCCTCACCAGTGCCGAGTACAGGGGCACGATCACCTCCCTACTCCAGTGCTGGCCTCGCTATTTCTGATACAGGCCAG